TTTTTTTATTTAAATATTGTACCCTTTAGATCATAATAGGAACTATCTCCTATGCGCCCTCAAGTCGCCAAATTTCCGCAACATTTTTGGCGAGAACTCAGCTGCCATATTACTATCTAATTTTTGTCTAATTTGAAATTAGCCTAAATGTCTAAAAAGCCGGTTTTCGCAAGCAAAAACTACGTTTTGAAACACAATTTAGCTAAAATCCGAAAAAAAAACAAAACTTTTAGATAGCAAAAACGTAAAGTTTCTAAAAAAAATATTTGACAGATCATGTACACAGCCAACATGTTTTAATTTAAAAAAAACTAGAATTGCACATGTAGCAACGAACGAATCTACAAACTAGACCACCTCGCTTTAATAAACAAACAATAAATAAATTTCAAAGAATACCATTACAAGATCTGTTTAAACTTTAAAAAAATCTACGAATTGCACAATTTAGGCAAGGAGATCTACGATCTACGCATCCTGCTTAATAAAATAACATAACAATAAATTTCAAATAATACCATGTACACAGCGTTGTTTAACTTAAAAAAAAATTTACGAATTGCACAATTTAGGGAAGGAAGGAATCTACGATCTACGCATCCTCGCTTTAATTTAAAATAACATAACAACAAAATTTCAAATAATACCATGTACACAGCGTTCTGTTTCAACTTAAAAAAATTCTACGAATTGCACAATTTAGGAAGGAAGGAATCTACGATCTACGCACTCCTCGCTTTAATAAATAACAAAAACAATAAATTTCAAATAAACCATGTACACAGCATTCTGTTTCAACTTTAAAAAACTCTACGAAATTGTACAGTGTAGACACTAAACAACAAAATAAACTAAAATAAAATTTCAAACAATTTAAAAAAAAAAACAATAACGACAGAAATTCAACTAAAGAACCAATGAACATAACATTCTACAAAATAAGAACAAGGATAAAATAAAATGTACTTACTATGAATTAATGCGTTTTCGAATAGCAGAAATATAAATTTCATACCGCCTTTAACATGCCACCACGTTATCACTATTGTATTTACACGACAGCCAGACACACTATCCAGAAAATTTATACTATGGTTCACAAATAAATAAAATCACAAATCCCTACCTCTATCATGCACTGCTATTAAAAATAATCTCCCAACCCTCTTTCCACACTTCGAAAAACCCCACTACCCCTCAACAGGATAGCCACAATCATATTCCTTTTGCCGAACTTCAATTCAAACACTACCATTTTATCTTTCCCTCCCATCTTCTCAGACACGGATGCGAACCAATGAGCTCCAGTGAAAGATTTTTCAACAGGGTTGCCATAGAACACGCAATCGCACCAAAAACCAGCGCAGAACACATATCACCACATTTGGTGAAATTAGGGCATAAATTAGAGTTCTACCGCTCTTTATTTCTTAAATTACAGTTTCATATTTTTAATTTTATAATTTCTGCATGCCATCTTACCAGATTTAAATCGATGATCTATAATCCGGAACTGCCGAAGTCCTGATGAGTCTGGATTAAAAACTTTTGACTGTATATATTTTTTGTTAGCTGTTCCTTTTACTTTTTTAGTGAATATAGTTCGATGTGTACATGGACAATGTCAAGGAAGTACACAGTGCCAAGTTTGTGCAATTCTCCACTTTTTTTTTTAAGTGAAAATAGGTCGATGTGTACATGGATTCCGAGTTTGTGTGTGTGTACATGGATTTTGACTTTGCCTTGTTATTTTGTCTTCATTTTTGGCATAAAAATCACGCCCCACAAGCCAAAATAACAAGTCAAGAATTGCACAAACTCGGTATCCATATACTGGCAAAAATCATCAAGGGGCACCCGTAAATATATTTTTACTAGTTTCTCAGTTTATTTTTAACTCATATTGGGAAATATTTATGCATAGTTAAGGTTTTAAATATGAACCAAAAAATAAAATTCTCCTTTTAATAAATACTTGCCATACATACATAATAATTTATTCTGTGAAATGAATGTGGAATATGGTAACAGGTAGTTTGGCGACATTTTGGTAGGCGATAAAGGTTACTACCTTGGAATTTGTGAATAATGTGAGAAGTACTCAGTTCCGATTACACATTATTTTGTGTGAGGAAAATGAGAGATCATGAGATATGTCGTGACATTAATGGATGAATTACAGTTCTTTAATCGGAAAAGGGGAGAAATCTGGAAAAAATCTGGAAATTTTTATTGCGTTTAGCATTTTGTATTTAGCTTCATAGTGTGTTGTGTGAAACAGTGTTGATTAATTTTTGGATCCCATGGCCCTATCTAAAGGAATTCGAAATGGGTATTTAGTGGGATTGAAAGAGGGGTAGTAATAAGTTTTTTTTAAGGTTGTGCGAGATAGAAGTAAAGATGCTTATTAATTTTTATTAAGTTATTTATTCTACCTGGTACAATAATATATCTGATTGCTGGAAGTCATATATCTGTTTGGAGGATGAAGGTTTTCAACATCTTGCTGTGAAGTATGATTTTTAAAGATCCTGAAACAGGCGCACATACGATTGCTTTTTATTTAGCGACGAAATAAGAAAAGTTTATCCGCCATGTAATCAAGATTCTGAAGAAGATTAGGTAAGTTAGTATTTTTAATTATTTGAGGATATTATTTTTATGCAGTTTTCGGCTGATCTTTGGGAATATGGTAACAGGTAGTTTGGCAACATTTTGGAGGCGATTAAAAGTTACTACTAGGACTTGGGATAATGTGAGAAGTACTCAGTTCCGATTACGCATTATTTTGTGTGAGGGAAAGAGAGGCATAGATATGTCATGCGACATTAATGGACGAATCACTGTTCTTTAATCGAAAAGGGGGTAAATTTGTAAAAATATCTGCTGTACAGTATTAGTTTCATTCTATGTTCTGTGAAACAGTGTGTTTAATATTTGGATTCCCATGGCCTATAAAGTAAATCCGAAATTTTTATTGCGTTTATGTTGTAATTGAAAAGATTGCTTAATTGCGGATAAGTGTGAATGTCAATGTGGGTATGAAATGAGATGTGTGAAGGAAGGATATTATAGTTTGAATGGCGTTAGATAAGTTGAATGGCGGTACAAGAAATCTGGTGAAAATGGACATTTTGTGATCGCCATGCACTCAAGATTCTGTAGAAGATTAGGTAAGTTAGCATTTTTAATTATTTGAGGACATTATTTTTATGCATTGTTCTAAATGTAAGGAGTAAATAAATTAATATGGTATATTGAAAAATTGTTGTTAGCAATGATATAGTTTAAAGTAATTAGGATTGTAAGCTAATTTTTATAATTTAATGTATGTGCTCATTTATATTTTAAGTAGTGTTTTTAATTTTTTAATGATCGTGATTTTGAGAGTTATATGTTTGTAGTATTTTGGAATACGTTTGAGTAGAAGTAAATGTGCATGGAAAGAATTTAAGTATTTGACACTAAGTATTTGGAATCATTTTTAAGTTTGCGTTAGAAATTGGTAAGTGAGGTTTATAATAGATAATTTAGAGGAAAAGTTTTTCGATATTTTATTTATTTTATATGTGCAAATGTTCATCCTTGGAAAGGGTATATACTTTTTGCGATCAGTTTTCTAATTTATGAGAAAAAAGCAGTGTAATGGATATAGTGAAGAGTGTGCGCAATGCCATTTTTGGCAAGTCTGGTTTTTTTTAAGTAAAAATAAGTCGACGTGTACATGGTTTAATTATATTTTAATTAAATGATAGTTATTTGTGAATTAATGTTGTAGCAGTGGTATATGTTTCAGTGGAAAGTAAACATGCATGGAAATAATTTAAATATTTGACACTAGGTATTGTAACCATTTAATGTTTGCATTATAAATTCGTTGGTGACGTTTATAATAGATAATTTAGGTAAAGGTTTTTGGATATTTTATTTATATTATACGTGGAAACGTTCATCCTTGGAAAGGGTATATACTTTTTCGTGATCAGGTAATTTCATATATGTGCTTTTTACAGAGTTTAATGATTCACAAAATTTTCCTGCATTTTCGTGCAAATTTTTGTAATTTATGAGAAAATAGCAGTGTAGATGAATAAAGTCAAGAGTGTGCGCAATGCCAGTTTTGTGCAATTAAGTAAAAATAAGTCGACGTGTACATGGTTACTGTGTATGTGCAATTCTGAAAAACGCGGCAAGGAGTTTGCGATTCTGCACTTTTTCCCATTTTTGCAGTTAATATTTGTCATGATTAAGAAGTTTTGTTCCATAAAATTTCTACCATAAGTGTAATTAGGCTAGCAGATTGTTGGAAAAAGTGTTGAGTAAATAAAAAGAAAAGAAACATGTGGCGGCGAAAAAAAAATAGAGGATTGCTGTAGCAGGGGGCATTTTCGCCAAGTTACCATAATCCAAAGATTAACCACTTAATTTTAAAATGAAATGTATGTTTAAAACTCTCACAGAAAGTGATGAAGATAATTACAGATACACAATATTCCACCTGCTCAATAAAAGGTCATCAAATAAAATGTGCTGTCATTTTTTGAAGTTCAGACATATCTACAGCTAGGACTTAATTTCGAGGGGCGGAGGGAGGGTAGTAACTTCTAAAACTAGTGCTTTTGTAACCGTCTTCTATTTATAAACTGATACTTCAGTTTCAAAGGCAACCGCTATCCCTTCCGTTCCCATCCCCCTAAATACAGATATCAGCCCAGACTATATTAGTTAATGAACAGTTAACACAAAAGTCCACGCGTCACAATAACGCTATCTGGAACCGGGGGGGATATAAAAAGGAAAACTGCTTTTCTTATACTTTTCTCCGCATACAAAGGGGTAAAGGCAGCTCCTAATACTCGCAAATGTACTGTCAGGAAACAACTACAGTAAAGCAATAAGGGGTTGCCTTAGGCGAAAAAGATATTTCAGAGATCTTGTAAATAAATTAAATAAACTAAAATAGACATAAGAGGAAACGACTGCATAGCAAGAGAGCTTACCTAAAGGATCTTCCGGTTTTCTAACTTTTTCCCATTCTTCTTGTCGTTTCTTTTTATATGCTTCAATCTCGGCTTCAGTAACGAAACTTTTACACTTTACAGTATTCTCCGTCATACTACACAGAATCTTTTTATACACTACGCAATACTTAAGAATATTGGATCAAATTTTTACACATTTATGGTCAAATTTTTTTTTAATTAACAACGAATAACCACTTACGGCAGAATATTCTTGAATATAGAGCAAAAACTACACTTCTACACTTTGCACGCAAAACACACAACACTGCCAGACAGACAGAGGTTTTATTTTGTAACAGCTGAGTCTTTTAGTCGATAACCTGCGAAGCACATTTGCTTCCATTAATCCAGGACTAAAGAGAAGGGCTAGCTCATAAAGCGTTTCCCCCTGAAACATGCAGTGAGGAGTGATGACGTAGAAATGATGCCACCGAGCGCGGAAATGCAATTGACAACATAGAAATTAGCGTTTTAAATTTGAAGAACCAGCGTTTAAAATGAGCTGTGTGTGAAAGATAGTTATAATTTGGAAGAGACACTGTTACCGCAGTATGCATTTTACATGCACATTACAAAATTTAATAGTACTTACTCAATTTTAAAATAAGAAAAGGCGCTACTTAGCATAAAGTTCCTGTTTTTATTTGAAGGATTTTTTTTCTTTAAATGCCTGTTTGTTTCTAATCATTTCTTATCTGCATGTTAACTAAGAGAACTGTACTACTGCTTCTAAGATAACTATAATAACAGCTATTTAATTAATCAAAAAACAACCTTAAATTGGCATAGTTTAAAACATGTATGGTTATATATGGCAAAATTTCTGCTAATCTAAGTTTGAGTTTCAGTCTAATTGTAAATTTTACATTGGCATATTTTTTATCCGATTCATATAATAACATATATTTTTTTTAAATAATTTTGTAACTTAGGCTTACATCAATATTTCATTAAATAAATACATGAAGATTCTTATCTTAATTTAGACAAAACAACTTTACTCACAGTACCTAAAATAATTATTTAATTTTTCAAAAGTGGGGGTTAGAGGGCAGGTCTTCTTATGCCAATACTTTAATATCATACTTATATATATTTTATCTAGAATGCTAAGCTAACACAAAATCGAATCAATAATAACAGAGGATACAATAAAAGCTGGAGCGACTTTTGTCTCTCGTTTCCCTGACCATTAAATAATTTGGTTTTAGTTTGTGACACAATTTAATTTCTCCTGAATCTTTATTTAAAACCTCTTTAATAATATCAACATTTAAAAACAGTTCCATCTTCTAAAACAAATCCTTTATCTAAAAAGTGGTTTCTCGGTAATTTGAGGCAGTGCGCTAAATCTGCAAAAACATATTTTTTTCGTTTGGAATACTGGATTTGGAAAATGAGAACTATTAATCGAAATCTGTAACTCTTTCCACAAAGTAGTAGATCCTCCTAAATCAGACACTATTGCTTTCACTTCTACTCCAGATGATTGAATATGTCTTATGAGTGAAAAAAGAAGTTCTTTCTTCATTGGAGTGTTAAAATCAAAAAATACTGGTTGTTTCCACTGCGAAATGAGACCTCTGATTAAAACAAACTGCACTTTTGAAAAGGACCGAGAATTTGGTCCAGTTTAGAGTCATAGCAGAGTTTTTAGAATCTATGTGCATTTCGTCGAAACTGAGAACGCATATTTTTTATACAGAATTCAAATATTGGCATCTTTCTTCATTAAGCTAGAACATCACTCTGGAATTCCTGGACTACATGAAAATTTAGCGCACCATCTCTTAATGTGCTAGTGCTAGGGTAAAGGAATTCCCATTTTTTTCTTTCCAAAAATCGTAGCTTTTAGATGACAGAGCTCTTATGACAATGCAATGTGAAATATCTTCACTAGTCCACTGATTTTTTCCTTCTTTTCTAGCAATGCGTTAATCTGCGTCTTTGTAAAAATATGCTTTAGATGTTTTTCCAAATTCTCCGATCTGTTCTGTTTTTTTCCTAAATTTCCTGTTTGGGATTTTTAATTTCTGAATTTCCGATACAAATTTCTTTCAGATGTCGTCCACCTCTTTGTCGCTGAGCAAACATTCTAAAATTTTCTTTTCTCTATTTTTCAAATTTTATTACAATTTTCTAAGGATATTATTTTGTTCTTCAAATATCAATACATTCTTGTTTATCTTTACACTTAGGGCACTCAGGGATATTGTCACATAGGGCATGTCACTTGTGAGTTTTATTTCAAAATCATTCACATTTGATTTTTTATTGTCAGCTTCAATTTCGTTCTCGGCCTCAAAATAAATTTCTTTGGGCTTAATTCGTGTAGTCTTTCAAAAGCACTCTGCATTAGTTTTCTTTTCAAATGTCACCGATTTCTTTGTGTTATTTCGTTTACTGCACACGATAAATTTACTTTCGGCACAGCATTGCATTTCAACAGTTTCTTTTGCGGCAATCCAAGCAAGCGATTTCTCATGTCATCTTCATAATCACTGCACAGAAAATGTTCGCTGCAAATTCTTGCTTTTTTCACATTAATAGAATCTTGTCTTCTACATTTATGTATCCATTCTTTCGTCAAAAGCAAATTATTCTTTGGGAAAGAATGAAATACAATATCTCTTTCTTTCGTATTTCTATAAGTGTTACGGCACAAGAAGTACAAGAAGCACAAGAAGCCATATTACATAAAGGATACTTTAAATATAGAATTTAAAAGGAAAACTGACTAAAAAATATATATATATATGCACACACAAATTATTTTAAATATTTGCATTATTAGAAAACAAATATGTATGATTAACATTAATTTGGGATATGCGATCTCCAGAAAATCGTCTCGCAAATGGATGAAACTACAGTTTTAAAGGCGCGAAATCAGAGCAGGTGCAACAGAGACACGTCAGATTACTTCTGGTTCCCCCCTCCATGAGGCTCACGTCGGCGAGGAGTCGAACAAAGGAATGACCTAGCCCTTCTATTTATCCCTGCCATTAATCAGTGCCGCGGTTATATAATACATTTTCAAAATAATCTTTTTCCCTTTCTTTATTTAATTTATTATTTTATTTTGTATAATCACTGGTTCAGTCTTTCCTTTTTAAATTTAAATAGAGCTAAATAAAGCAACATCAAATCTGAAGATAGATATTGCTTTATTTAGATCTCTTTCCATCCTTTTTTCAGTTCTCTAATATAAATAAGAATAATTTTGATACTATGCAACAAAATTATACATTTAAATGCATCAAATTATATTTCCATGTTAAAATATGCAAGAGCAAACATGCTGTCTAGCTGTCCGCCTCCATGTTCTAGAGGTAAAGCGAAATTTTTTTTGGCAGCGATTTAAGTAACCCTTGCAACGGTGTTTTGTCGTTTGTAACAACTGCTAGAATTTACGTTTATAATTTGAATATATATATAATATACGTTATTTTATAAAAATGGGATCACCAGAAGAACTGCAAAAGAAGTTATCTCAAGAGCTGGAGAAATTGAAATTTGTTCAGAAAGACTTGTCAAAAGCCATGACGGCTAAGCAAACCTTAGATGGCCAGTTGTCAGAAAATAAAATTGTAAAAGAAGAGTTAGAGTTTTTGACCCCCGAAAATAAAGTGTACAAAATGACAGGACCCGTATTAGTTCAACAGGAGATCGAGGAGGCAAAGCAAAACGTAGAGAAAAGGATTATGTTCATAAGTTCGGAACTCAAGAGGACCGAAGATTTACTGAAAGATTTAAGTACCAAGCAAGATAAGCAACAGGAAATTTTGCAGGAGCTCCAGAAGGAGCTTCAGGAAGTGCACCTGAAAAATGCAAAAAGAGCTTAGAATTTAAATGGGCAAGTTTAGCAACGAGTATAATGTAATTCAATCATGCAGTCAAGCGCATATTCAATTTGAATCATTTTATATACCTGTCCTCGTGTTTGAACCTTTTTTCATGTTAAAATATATTAACGGGCTTGTGTTTTGCAGTATTTAATAAAAAAAAAAAAAACATTTCTGTATGCGGTATATAACCGTCTTCATTTGACAACCCGTCTTGACGGTATTTGACAATTGTTTTCATTTCAGAATAAATTCTTAGCGCTCTGTCAGAACAAATAATTTCTCGTGTGTTATGAAAGGAATAAAAACCAATGTTTATAAATTGTGTTGAATATCTTTTTGATTAAGATCTTGAAATAAGTGTATGTATTATATAATTATTTTTAAGTTTTATTTTAATTAAAATTAAATTTGAAGCAGATATAAAAAGAAAGTAAAACAAATAATGAGCATTGGTATCATTTCCTGATGTGACTTAGTAAGATCAAGATCTCTGAAATAAAGAACAAGTGTATTCATTATATTGTGTAGAAGAGTTTGATACCAACATTTCTGCCAAGACTTGTAAAATTGAACATTTTTAATGAATGTTTATCATATAGTAATCATTTGCTAGTATAAACTATACTGAAAAGATTTCAGTCTACATAAATTTTTACGTGATTAAATATATAACAAAATAAAATTTTATAAACTTATTTTTCAATTAATTTCAGAATTATCATTTAATCTCTGGAGAGAAGTTTGATACTTTTCATATTAATGTATGCGTTGAAGAATAAATTATGTTAACAGAAAATGGCAAGTAGTATTTAAAAAAAATGAGTTTCTTGGAATATATTTGAGAAGATAACTCTTTATTGGTTAAATAAGTAATTAAACAGGTATTTTTATCAGTGATTTGTTCCCTGTTAAAATCAGTTAGTGGATGGCAATTTTTTCTTCATTGTGTAAGTTTTACATGGGTGAGTTTTATTTAGTAACTTATCATAAAAGCAAATAGCTCTCATGTCTTGTAATTATAGTTAAATACAATAGAACCCAGATTATTCCAGGTAACCATATAGGTAACAAGGTCACTTTTGGATAGTGAAAAGCATTAGTAAAATGGGAGGTTGGAGCTATAAAACATGTTGGTAGTTTCTGATTACCCTTGCCTCCACTGAGAAGTCAGAAATTCATTGCTAACTTTGGAGAGAAATTAGGTATCATTATGTCTATTTAAATGATTCATCCAGTTCTGCTTCATTACATTCTTTTCTTTCCATGCAAGATATGGATATCTCTATTTTTATGCTGCTGTATTTCCTACATTAACAGTCATCTGTTTTCACTAAAAAAAATCATATAATTGAACAAAATCCTAAAATAAAGAAAAAGGAGTCGCATGATGCCTTTGAAAATGAGCTGCATTATCCTGTATGTGTGCAGAAAACTAAGTGCGAGATTATGCAGAACATAATGAAAACTGTATGCAATCCACTATTGTGCTAAAATTCCTATAATAGTGATCATAATCTGCTGTCCCATTTATAAAATGTCTAGAAAAATGGATGCTATGTGCATGCTTGGGTTAACACACAAATACTTTTAGGCAACATGATGCATTGCCTCTTCTGTGTTGTGTTCTCGGGTTGTAGAAAATCAATGTACCAGAATTTTTTTGCCATATAATTTATTATTTAAATAATATGTGCAATTGTTTCAGAATAATAGTATAATTTTAGTTTTCATTTCAATTTATATCTTTGAAGTTAAAGGCTGAGAAACTCTGATGATTTTTGCTACATCTTTTTATTTATTTATTTATTTTATTTTTTTTTATTTTTTTTTTTTAATTTCTGAGGCAGAGTTTTTGTTTGCTATAGAATCAAAATATCAGCAACTGTAGTTGTCTTACTTTGCAAAAATATTCCAATGACAGATCCTGTGCATGAAAAATCATGCAAGTCTTCTGTATATTTTCTACTACATTTATAAATTATAAAAGAAACAGTGTAATCGACTTGCTGGCTGGCAATGAATTTGTGGTTTTCTGTACCTGTTATCTCTTAATAGGTTATAAAATATGTATAGTATTTTTAGTATTTGTGAAATTTAATATATTTCTTCAAACATCAACAAAATATACTGTGTTTATTTTTCTGTTTTAGGATAGAGATTTAATGAATTTAAAAAGCAACTTGTGTTTTAAAAATGCTATACCTTTTATGCAAGAAAATACGGTACTATTCGGTTTCCAGGGCCGTAAAAAAATTGCAGCGAATATGTACATGCAAAAGCGCCAAATATAGCAAACGCACTAATTTAACAGCGCGCCAAATCCAGCGTACGCGCTGATTTCAGATTGCGTAAGTTTATATAGTTCTATATTTCTTAAGACGTCATTGAAATACTAGTTTAATTTTGTAATCTTTTTTTGATTTTAAATCCTTTTTTGATATGCTATGTATTTAACAATTTGGGAATTGCCCATGACGAAAAGTCGGCAATAGAATTTTGGGTAAAGCGCAGAATCACCCACTGCTTGACGCGTTTTTAAGAATTGCACATACTTGGTATCCATGTGCACATCAACTTATTTTCACTTTAAAAAAAAATCCTAGAATTGCACAAAGATGGCAATATGCACACCCTTGACTTTATGTACACATCGACCTATTGTCACTTAAAAAGTAAAAGAAAATTGACAAAAATACAATTGTTTTTACCCTTGTAAAAAGCGGCAAACAAATAAGTGAGCGATTCTGCACTTTACCGAGAATATTTTCAAAGAAAAGGCTTCATTCATTATAGAAAATTACATTTGAATAACCAACGAGATGAAATTATGCTTCAGCGATAAGTCGGTAGCAAAATAGCGATGCAGGCATCCATTCAGTTATGTTTAGCAATTTTTATATAAATTATAATAATGATCTGAAATAGTTATTTACTCTTATGTTTCCATTCAGTCATGTTAGCCTTTTTCACATAAATAATAATAAAAAAGTATTATATGAAATTAACCTTTCATCTAAATTAAACATCAATCTTAAATAGTTATTTACTATTATACTTCCTTCTTGTCGCATATTTTGGCAGCATTGGCATCAACAATAGTTTGGCGATTTTTTACTGCCCTCGAAACTGAAAATACTTAGTATGAGGTTTCCAAGAATGTATAGTGGGATTTTGTAAAGTCTCTTTGAAGTATGTATTATGTGTAATAAATTTAGTATTTTTTATTTAATTCAGTAATTTAAAAAGATTATGTGCATATATTATTTTGTGTATACAACGTACACTCTTATCTGGACTGAAACTGAATATTGCTATGACATTTATCATGCTGTTAATGGAATTCATATTGAACTTTATTAAATTTGCTCATTATCTTTTTGAAGTGACTGAAAGAATTAAAAGCACTTTAAGTTTATTTTATATAATACATATTTCACAGAGACCTTGAGAAATCTCATCTATTCTTAAAGACTCTATGTAACGAAATATGTCCAAACAACTTTAATATTTTGCAAACAGTAAAATTTGCATTTAAGTGATTATTTTCAATATCATTATAAAGTTGGAAATGAAGTCGGATGCATACTTTGATAAATTAAGAATCTGAATTTAATAGTGGTGTGTCCTTATTGCAGAACAATGGTCTTGAAATGTCAACTCTGAAAATTCATTAAACTATAATTATTCTTGTAGAATTCTTACCAACTTCAGAAAAGTAGTTTACAAAAAGCATTGAAATATATCAATATTATTATGTGTTATTTTTAAGTGGAAAATAGAAACACAAAATCATTTTATTTATAAAAACAAATATATTCTATAATGATTATAACAATAATAACAGAAGTACAAAATATTATTTTATTAATTATTTGAATTATAATTCATATAATATTCAAAGCTTTTTAAATTTTGACTTGCAGAACCCCTACAGGATTTCTCTGGGATTTCGCAGTTTGCTAGATCAACAATATCGAAAATATGTATATAAGTGAATATAGATTGAATTTCAAAACGAAGTGTGGTATTTACAAGTTAAAAATAATATGGAAAGCTTGATTGTTAATAACTTGCTGTAATATAGACTGCTATATCTGTCACCATACAATTTTCATATGCCTCCCAAATACATTTATTTAGCTATTTTAGTGTTAAGGTAATTTTGTATTTCTCTAACTGAGTGTCCAGATGTGTTCCTCTGCTCTTGAAATATAACAATCGGAAGAGAAAATCTTAATTACTAGGAGTACATCGATCAGTGTTGTATAAGAATTCTTAATCCAAGGAAATTTAAAATCTTGTGTTCCATCTCATAAATTAAAAAATTATCTCAGTAAAAATATATTTAGGATGCCCCTTGGCATAAATTGGCGGTACATGGATACTGAGTTTGTGCAATTCTTATTGACACAATTTGGCTTGTTATTTTGGCTTTGTGTAGCGGCGATTTTTGGCATTGTGCACTTCCTTGGCTGTCCATGAATATATCGATCTATTTTCACTTAAAAAGTCAAAGGAGCAGCCAACAAAAAATATATAATCTTATTAAACTACATTTTAAATCAAACAATCAAATAACATAAAAAAGGAAATTCATCTTAGCACTACACAAAAGGAAATAGCCACTTACCTTATTTAGAAATTTCCCTTTCTTCAGTCAAACAAAATTCCTTAACAGCATCCAAAAACTTCCTAAAATTATTTGAACTAGAATCTGTATACTGATGTTGCAATTTAAATTCACAAAAATAAAAGTTGAAAATATCCTCCGATGTTCAACCATATGCATTTCCTTCCTACAGACAACACACTTATAATGGCTACTAAGTAAACCTTCATTACACACCAGTTAATTAATGCTCTTTTCTCCTTTCATTCCAAATCATACAGAAACTTCAAATTAATCTTACCACATTCAGCCATTTTACCATCTAAACCACAAAACAGCTACGTACTTCCTAACCAACACGCACCACAAGTCCTCACAAATCTTTTTCCATCAATCAAATTCACTGCAGTCATGCAACCAATTACATAATAATAGGGTTTCCATAACATTCAACTACTTGGGTTACAATAAATAAACAACTTCGTGATAATATGAGGAGCACCATTAAATCTACTCTAACCTTTTTCTCTGAGATTCTTATTCTTACAATGGCTGTACCAGCTATTGCAAGAATAAGAACATGTTTCCATTCAAAATTATTATTTTATATTTTCAAGACATCACAAGGAATGTTTTAAAAGTTTAGAACAAAATTCAGGATCATGACACCAAGAAGATCCTTCCATGTTTTTAATTTGTTCTCTTGAGTG